TTTTCTTAAAGTGTTTGATATCACTTTCTTAGTTTTTGACTTATAGCTGAAATAAACTTGTGAAAAACCAGGGAATATGATAGGTAAAGGAGGCAGCAGCCGAGTTTACAAAGGTTACCTTCCGGACGGCAAGGAACTCGCTGTGAAGATTTTAAAACCTTCAGAAGATGCCGTAAAAGAGTTCGTTTTAGAAATCGAGATCATTACAGCCTTACACCACAAGAACATCATCTCGCTTTTCGGATTCTGTTATGAGGACAAAAATCTTCTCCTAGTATATGATTTTTTATCAAGAGGAAGCCTTGAAGACAATCTTCACGGTACATAACGTTGCAGTATTATATAATGTTCATTTTCGGTACATTCTGTTATAATGAATGATTGTTTTTTAATTTATTTTTTATTTTTATTTTTTTCTTTTGAATTAGGTAATAAGAAGGAACCACATGCTTTTGGGTGGGACGAGAGGTTTCGCGTTGCTATTGGTGTAGCTGAGGCTTTGGAATATCTTCACAATAGAGAAGAACAACCTGTAATCCATAGAGACGTTAAGTCGTCAAATATACTTTTGTCCGATGATTTTGAGCCACAGGTGATGCATTATAAATTATTATCAACCGTGCATTTTCATTAATTTCTAATTTTTAACTTATTATGTTTTTTTTTTAACTTATTGTCTTTTTCAGCTTTCTGATTTTGGGCTTGCTAAATGGGCATCGACAACTTCAACTCACATAACTTGCACAGATGTTGCTGGAACTTTCGGGTAAGTGGAAATTGCGCTTAAAAAGCTTGGTGCTTTTAAAACAAGTGCTAAAAAAACTACAATTTTTTTTTTCTTTTCAAGTATTAGATGTTTTGTTACAAGTAATTACTCTTTTGCTGGGCATTTTTGTTCTGCACAGGTACTTAGCTCCTGAGTATTTCATGTATGGAAAAGTAAACGAGAAAATCGATGTTTATGCCTATGGAGTTGTACTTTTGGAACTTTTGTCGGGTAAAAAGCCTATAAGCAGCAACTGCCCGAAAGGCCATGAGAGCCTTGTTATGTGGGTATGTTCTTTGTACTCATTGGATTTTAATATTTTATCTGCTTAATTATGACCACAAAATCGAAATCATTTTTACTATTTGTTTTATAGGCAAAGCCAATTTTAAGTTCCGATAAATTCGCTATTTTACTGGATCCCGATTTGGGCAGTAGTTATGATCACGAAGAAGTGGAGAGAATGGTTTTAGCTGCCTCACTCTGTATAAGACGCGCACCACGAGCTCGACCCCATATGAGCCTCGTAAGTAGTCACTGTCAATTTCTTGATTTATTGGGTAATTCTAAAAAAAAATATGTGCTAAATTCTAACAACAAGATGTTAATTACCACATACTAAATTGTTCAAAATGTTAGTAATTATCACACTAAATAGTAAAAGTATATGAAAATTGAAAAAAAAAACGTTATTTATCGCTAGGTTCGAAAGCTTCTCCAAGGGGATGTGGAAGTGGTTAAATGGGCTAGACTGCAAGTGAATGCTTGTGAAGGGTCTCGAGTCAAGCTAGACACAAATTCAGTCGAAGGTACTGAATTAGAAGAAGAGACGTTTTCGAAATCGAATCTTCAATCCCACTTGAATCTTGCGTTGCTTGATGTGGACGGGGATTCTACCTCGATAAGTAGCATCGAGCAAACTATTTCTTTAGAAGATTATCTCAAAGGTAGATGGAGCCGGTCCTTGAGCTTCGACTAACCGTAAATTCTTGCGAAAAAAAAGTTCGCGAAAACTTCTTCTATTTCCATATATATTTTTTTTTTTCGAAAAATAAAATTGTCTAGTATAGTTGGTTATGGGCTTGGATGTGAGGTTGTGTTGTGGATGTGCCCTCCTCCTTTCCCTTTTGTAGTTGTNTTTTTTTTTTTTTTTCGTGCTTGTTTGGTGCGAAATAGGGTAATGTGATTTGCTATACGTACATCGTTAGAGATTTGATGTGTTCGGAAGTGAGGATGCGAATAGCATGTTGTGATAGAACGAAATTCGAATCGACTCGAAATCGTACATGTACCTTAATGCTTGGTAAAAACATTTTGCATCTTTGAAATATATTCATAAAATGGATTGTTAAAGAAGTGCATAAATTGCTATTTTGCTATTATTATTTGCATGGTGTTAGACTTCCATTACTTCATTTTCATTTTCTTGGTGGCTGTAGTGCAGTTTTGACAACTACAATGCAGTCAGTGAGTTTTTTACCATATTTGTTTAATTGTTTATCGGTTAAAATTTTTGATAAAATGTATTGAAGTTGTGCAAACATGATCAAAAATTGATATTTTAGGCCATCATTTTCATGTACTCGATCAATAATGACAGCCTTTGAGATTGAGTATTCTCATGTTCTGATTTATGGTAGCCATAGCTTTTTTAGGCTATTGCACGTCAAACCGTGAGACCACCTCACACTGTGTGCCTTTTGTATGAGTGCCTTGTTTCTTTTTCATAAAGGAGCTTTATGTCTTGAAAGTGAAACAATCTTTGTTGATAGTAGTTATATTAGTGTAACCTTATTATAATTTTGCTAGTTCTCATAGGTCAATTTATTTAATTGATAAGTATAATTAATTTTATTATAACAACAAGTGTATAATTATTTTTATATATTATATGAATGTTAAATTGAAACTTGTCAGTAATATGATTAGTTATGTCAGTATATGAAAATTTGATAATAATTATAAAAATTATTAACTTTTAAATTATATTTAAAATTAAATCTAATCAATTATCTATAATTATAAATGTCTAATAAGTATGGTTGTTATCGAACTGAACCTCACCGTAAAGTTTTTGAGTTCGAGTTCGACTAATTTTCAAACATGTTTGTATTCGTTTGTTTAATATTCGAAAAAAAATCATTCATGTTCGTTCGTTCATTGGTTAAAAGACATCTTGAGAAGGGATCTTAGGTCGGTCAAAATAATTTGTTCATCTAGTGCCCAACACGACTTATAGCAGGCCGGGGAGGATACTAAATGGGCAAACTCGTTCGTTTTTCGTTCTTTTATATAGTCGAACTTGTTCGTGAACTGTTCAAATTGTTCTACAAGTTCGTGTTCGTATTGCTCGACAAGTTCGTGTTCGTGTTTGTTGACTTTTTTTTTTTTTAATATTGGTACACAAAAGACCTCTGACCGACTAGAAATCAGCCTACTCTGAGCTCCTCGCCGGTTGAACGTCTTTAGACCCACAATAACTCTCACACCGGAGGGGTTTTCCGGTGAAGAGTCTTCGATGCTTAAGTTAGCACTTGTATAAAATGAAGTGCAATATGTATGTAGAGCATACAGAGAATGTAATATGATAATGGGCACACATCGCCCCTTTTTATATATAAGGAGATGATACTTTGTTGCCCATGACTGCACGAGTTGGTTGTCCGAGCTTCCCGCTCGTACTGTCCGAACTACCCAAACTGCCAAATTTTATTAGGTCACGTGACTCTATCCACTTGTGACTCTTATCCTAATAATATTACTTCTTATCCATTAGTCTTTCTTGTTAGATCGCCTAATAGTGCGACTAGGTCGAAACCTGTTGAGGTAGAATGTTGCGTTTGTCGAGCCTATGGTCCTCCTAGTCCGTCACACGACCAATCGTACCTTCAGGTCGAGTTTCTAATAGGCCATCTGAGGGCCCTAGCTCGACTTGGTGTTGTCCCTTTGAACCACTCACGTCCTCTTCGACCTAAAGACTCTTCGTCGGCGCTCGACCTTCCTGTTGCTCTGCTCGACCAACCGGTTCGCTCTGCCCGGTCAGCCAGTTTATCAGGCTAACTCTACCTAGTGTGGTATCCCATATCAAATACCATACAAGTTATTCTATTTAATATTTAATATATATCTATGTTTATATATTGTATCATATATGTATGTACTATATATATCATATAAAAGTATAAAATACTTTTTTGTTCGCGAACTTGTTCGTCTTCGCTCGATAACTAAACGAGCATAATTTCATGTTCGAGTTCGATTCGATTACTAAACAAACGAGCTGTTATCAAATACGGATGGACACGAACGAGCTTTGTTTGAGAACAATTCAGATCAATAACAATCTACTAATAAGCATGAACAGAAAAGTATATCCATACATGGACTGATAGGAATCAAAAAATTTGACACATATCACTATCTATATATATATAATTACTAGCTAATAGAATTTAATAAAACCTATTTAATTTTATCTATGTGGCAATTTAACAATTTTCCCTCTAAAAACCGTTACATTTTGATGTATTTAATCTTTCATTTAATCATTAAATAATTAATACTCATCACTTCAAAATTATAAAAATCATTTTAAACTTTTGATTAATGACAGTTGACCATATAATGTGTTGACCGTATAATGTGATTAGATGTTATTATTGTTGTTACATTTAATTTTTTTTTTTTGAAAATAAAAAATATATTTGAAATTCCTAAATAAATAATAAATAATTCACAAATAAAAGACGTACCAAAATATACATTACATCCAATCAGATAAACGCAATTTAAAAAAAAAGTATTCCAACTCTTTTAATTGTAAATTTGGTCTGCAAAAAAGTGAAAGAAAAATAATTAATCATTATATGTACAGACTCACAATAATTTATTTATATCTGTGCAAATGCACAGGTCGAATACTAGTATGTACTAATCCAAACAAGCAGAAGTTGATACGTAAAATGGATCTGACACATAAAATTATCAAGCAATCACATAAGAGTACGAAGCATAAAAAACTAACTCATAACTTTAGAAAAAAAAAAAACTCTGCATTTATATAAGCATAAAAAACTAACTCATAAATTTAAAGCTCTGAATTTATATACATGAAAGACATATATGCACACGGACACTCTGTATTAAGTGAACGAGTTTAATTGAGCATGAAATTGGGCCCTAATTTTATCAAGCAAATTTATGAGCCCATGACGTGAAGTGGCCTCACTCCAACTGGATGTCAAAAGCCTAACTGTATTACCTTTAGAGGAAATTACCTTGTGAACTACAATACTACATCATATCATTTTTATTACATTTACACAACCTACATTTTTTTATTTGCAGAATCACTAAAATCATCCCATTTATTTGCATACATACCACATCCCTTTAATTGGGGTAACTAATGAAAACTTCTAGTAGCCATGAATTTCGCCTACCAAAAATAATAACGGCCCCTACCAAAAATAATAACAGTTATTATTATTGTTACTCAGCCTCGCCACATCTCTGTTGCTTTCGATTTCAAAATAAAAGCATGACAAAGGCAAATACAGTTGCAGCCCGTTCGCATGAATACACGCATGCAAATGAATAATTAATGATTAAAAAAATGAATAATTTTGTATTATATATATATATATATTTCCGGTTATATTTTAGGTATATATACAGAGATTATGGTTTATATATTCAGTATATATACTGATTACTGAACATAAATAAAAAACATAGACCTATTTGTTTAGGTATAGACCAATGTTTTAGGTATCGTTCTTATTTTATGTTTTTAGGTATATATATATACATAAACAAAAAAATATACATACCGAACATAAACCAAATAATATATTGCTGAACATAAACCAAAAATAAATTGAACATAAACCAAAAATATTAAAACTACGCAATTTATTTCTATGAATAAATACCAGAATATACTGCACATATACTTTCACCTGTTCAACATTTTATGAAATAATTATTAATTTGAAAACTATTAGTATTGTACATAGCAGCACTACGACTCTCATTGAAAGCTTGCGGCTTCGGTAATGGAGGGTCAGCCAGGATAAAATAGCGACACAAGAACCGGGATGAGCGGCCCAAAGATCTGCCCCAAATGAGTACCCAATCAGTTCTATTGGACAACAGCGGTCTGACGGGAACCGTCGGGATTTGACGGTGGAGGTTGGGCGTCGTCGGCTCAGGGGGAAGCGATTCGTACGGCGATGGCGTGTTTCGAGTCGGTGGTGGAGATGGCAGTTGTTGTTCGCACTTCGTTGGGTTGCTTGCGGGATCGCGTGAAGGCTATCGGAGATGTTCGAAGACGCCGGTAAGAGGAGGGCTGCCATATTGAAGCTATTTTTTATTTTTTTTTGTTAGTAACAGAATGGAAGTCGTGGGGGAGAAATCGTCGGGGAGTGAATATCATGTTGCCGAATTATAGGTAACTAAATCTTAGGGATTTATATAGTATATTTTTTACAATTACGTAGAAACACAATATCTTATGTATGGATAGTATTATTGCAATATTTTTAATTTCATGTAGGACACATGAAAATTTTCCAAATATTTATGAGTCGGTCTCATGGGTTAGGAATATACTAGCATCATAAATCATAATATCATTCCATTTCAGACCGAATGAAAGTTATATAATTATGAAAATAAATTAAAATTTTATTTTTCGTTATATTAAAAAAATCGCAAAATAAAATTTATTAAATAGTTTGCTTGGTTTGGAAAAAAAAAAAAAACAAAAAAATAAAACAAATCACAGGCAGAAAATACTCTTGAATTTAGGAAATTAAAGTACATATATTAGAAATTAAAGTATACTAGTACAATACCATGTAAATACACGGTGTTGAATTAGGAAGCATATATAAAAAATATTAATTTTTAAACTAAAATAATTTAATTTTATTTAAAAATTACTCTGGGTTTTAATTAACTTTTCAAATTATATTTTTTTAATCATAATAATTAAACACCCGTATATTAAATGAAAATATCAACTCATATTGAATTTTTTTATTCATATCATATAAAATTATCGATATTATTTACTGTTATTATGTAAAAAAATATATATTTAAAATAAATAGAAATAATATGGTGATATGTATATGCATAAGTGCAGAATATGTTTGTTTAATATTAAGCAAAATAGATTAATTTTGTACTTAATTAGATGCCTAATACATCAAGTGACGTATCCGTCGTGTTTCACAGTTTCTAACTATGTAATTTTAGAATTTAGATAAATAATTATTTATTTTTATTAGATTGATAACATACCAATTGGATTTGAAATAAATATCATTTCTAAAAGAATACATACCAATTTCTATTACTTTATATTTTTATTAGATTGGAACATACCAATTAGATTTGAAATAAATATCATTTTTAAAAGAATAAATACCAATTTCTTTTACTTTATAATATAATTTATAGTTTTATTTGATATCTTTTAATTTAGTTTGATAAATAAACTTAAATTTTACTTATAAAAATATATATTACTATTTTGTATTATATATATATATATAATATGGATGTCAAATCAAAAATAGTTAAAAGATAGTTAATTTGATATATCATATATACAAAATAAAATACAAACAAAAAAGTTATAAAATCTTTAAATAAGAAGAAGAAACATTTATAATAACTAATGAATGAATTAAATAAGAAAATGAAATGTATGTATGGTAATGTAGGAAAAAGAAATATAAAATAATTTATGGTAACTAATTGTATAAGTAAAGAAGGAAAAAATCAATCATGAATTTACTGTGATAAAAAATACTAATTTATATCAAAGCCTAATTCCAAGCATGGTTTTTTGTCAAATAGGATTCCGAAGCGTGACAGTTGGCCACGTAGGCTCAACCTATTCTGAAATTATATATAGAGGGGGTATATTAAAAAAACACATACACACAACAAATCTCTTTAAGTCTTTAGAAATCCTAAGGCTATGTTTGTAAAAGGATTTACTCAATTCAAATTAATTTATATTCAAAATCTAACTCAAATTTAACTCAACCTCACTATCTTCAATATTATCAATATAATTAAATAATAACAATCAAACATTAAATAATAACCAATCATTTTTGCACATCATATTAACTTTAATTCACTATTAATCCACTCGCATAATTTTAACTAATCATTGCTTCATATCATATCTCTCCTACTTTAACATCAAACTAATTTTAATTATTTTATTTTAAATATTATTTTAATATAAATTCAAAATTTCAGTAACAACTAACTATATCACTTTTTCTAAATTAACACTAGTTAACTAAAAAAAACTCACTTTGAGTTAATTAACTCAAATTATTTATTATACACACACCCTAAATGAATATATCCCTTAAGACGCCTCAAATCTTAAAATCTCAAAATGTCACTCGAAATGTCAAACGAATATGCCCCTTTGTTAAGATTTTTCTAAAATTGGATGATATAAATATATATAATCTCACTTTAAATACTAAATTCAAACTAAGATTTGAGAGGATTCTTGATAAACTTTAAAATCTCAATAAATTTCAACTCTTAAAATGTCTCAATATGTCACTCGAAATTCCAAGTAAATACAACCCACAATGTTATAATTTGAAAAAATAATTTTAGATAGCGCCAACTTATTTTCCAAATTTCATTCGAATCAAAGTCAATTGAGATGATTAAACAAGTGATTTGTGATGCTATTTACAGCAGAGCAGACCTACAATACTCGAAAGTCAAAATTGGAAAAACAGCTCACAAATAATTTTCCGCCGCCTGAAATTGGGGAAAAATTTCACACAGAAAATTCAAAGTAACCCAAGAAAAGTCCGAGTATTCAACGCCGCGTAATGGATCTACCACCGCCACCACCGCCGCTGCCGCTATACCTCCACCACCAGCCCCACCACAGCCACCGCCACCACCCCCACCACCACCAACTCAGGTATGAAAACGTTATCCATCCTCCCGATTTCTGTCCACGGCCATATTCACATAATATCCCTCCGCCACCACCGCCACCATATCGCCGCTTGTCGCACCCTCATCCCCCTTCTCTCTCCAATTTGTCTCCACACAGATCTCGTCATTTCGAAATCGTTTCACCACCGAAACCCGATCCGCATCACAGCCACCTTCTTCATCCCCCGCCACCGCTGCCGGAGATGCGGAATAACACACACCTGCGGCTAGTCCATGATTATCCTGCCCGAAGCCCTATCTTGGCAGATGAGATTTTTTGGAGGGCTCATGATTTGGGAAATCGTGAAAGGTACCCTGGTAACATTTGCGGTATCCAGGAGTTGTACAATGGTAGGGATGATTTGGATAGGAGAGGGGTTATTGGAGTTGGTTATAGAGGTCGTGACTTATATGATGAGAGGAGAGTTTTGAATCGGGTTAGTGACTTCAACAAGAAGGTGGATTACAGTGAGACAAGACAGGATAGTATTAATGGCTGGATTCGTGGGTTATATAGGGATGTGTATCATGATGAGAGGAGCGCGGATAGTAGAGTTAGTAACCGTGGTCGCGAGTTGTGTCGTGAGGGTAGTAATGACGAAAGGAGATGGTATCATGGTAGTAATGATGAGGGTTTGTTGCCATCAGGAAACAGACAGCCTAAATGTATGAAGAATGTTTCAAGTTCGGGTAGATTTAGTCGTAGGTTAGGGAGTGGGGTCAGTGAGGGAGATTTGGTTAGATCCAAGAAGAAGAGGAAAGTGCGGGGGAAAGCTGCCAATCGTAGGATTCAATCAGGAAAAAATTGCAGTTCATACGATGGAGCTCATAAGTGTGTGCCCATTCAAAAGGAGCCGGTTGAAGGTAGCTTTAGAGGTGAGGAAAAAGACGGGTTTAAGAGCTTGCGAACTGGAACGGATGGTAACAGAGAGAGGGAGGAGAGCCTGGATCTTGCTATTTCATTCAAGTCAAATGCGCTTGTGGCCAAGGCTATTTTGGCACCACCTCGTCCAGATGTGAAGACTGATACAACTTTGTCGCTCATGAAAACTGAATTAACATCCAGTAAGTCTGGTACACCTACGGTCAAATCCAGTGAGGACGCGGTTAAAATTGATCGGTTAGCAAGTTGTCAGGATCCCCAATCTAATTTAAATGACACTTCAAAAGAGTTGGTAGATAAAGCTGTGGTTCCTGAAAGTGGAAATGTGGAATGTGATGCTAATGAAGCTGGTGAAATTGCAGGTGAAGATCAAACTCAGAAAGTTATATCTTTTCAAGGTCCCACCAGCACTAGATCTGTCCGCGTACAGCAAAGTCAGTTAAGAAAAAAGAGGAAGGCTAGAAAGAAGTTTTTTCTTGAATCTAATATGCATATGAAAAGAGATGAGAGCCATATTATTCCCTTTAGTTCATCTGAATCTGTCCAGCCCAGCTCGGACACTGCACTTCCAGAATGTGGTGGTTCTTGGAAACCCTGTGGTCCTAATTTGAAGAGAAAAAGCAGCAGTTTGACATCATCTGCTTCTGTAAATGTGCCTGATAGTGTAATTCCCAACTCTTTGGACCATGCAGAGAGATTAGAAACTTCTACTGAGAATGTGGATGCTGAAAATTATTCTCATGAGACTTTCCTGTCTAATGAGAATATTTGTCCTGTGAACAGCATGGGATTGAATCAGCATTGTACTAACGTGAACAGTAATGCACAGAAGACTGAAATGGAGCGCATTGATCAATTTGATAACTTGCTCCCTGAGATCTCTGTATTTAATGCACAGAAGGCCGAAATGGAGCGTATTGATCAATTTGATAACTTGCTCCCTGATAAGGTGGATGATATTAGTGAACTTCCATTATTGGAAAATTATGGTGCTAATGGACCTTCCGAGGTCATAGGTTCTCTTGATGGTATTGCTATTGCAGGCTTGTCTCAGGAAAATCAATGTTCTCCAGAAATCCTAGCGTCAAATGCATCTTCAGAATCTGATAGTGTAGTGCCTAAAGAGCCTGAGGACGGTAACTATACAGATGCTCAATCGAAAGTAGTCTTTCTGAATGTGGTCAACACGCCACAAGTTGTGGTAGATTCAGTAGAATATAGAAGTTTAGAAGATGTCACAATGTCAGATTGTTCATATGTCATTCCCACCCCTACTGATTATCTTCCAGCACGACATGGAGGGATCTTAGTTGGTGTTTGTTCTCAAAATGACTTGAGCAAAAAGGCATCTATTGATGTCTCTGGTTCCGCGGAAGGATCTTTTGAGGCCCAGAAAAATGCCAAAACTTGCATATCTGACGACTATTCTTCCAATGTCACTCTGATGAAGAAAGCCCCGAGTGCTCAGATAGGTTTTTCTGATATTGATGTGGCCTCTGGTGTATCCACCAGTGATGAAGTTGGATTACTGTTGGCTAAGGTTCCTGTTCCTGCTACAGAAACTGAATTTCTTGGTGAGAGACGCAAATCCGAGGAGGTTGACAAGTCAAGTAGAGGGCCGTCCAGAGTTGAAAAACGAATGCTGGAGCTTGCTTTTCATCCAAATGACTTATATCCTAGCTGCAGTAAGAAGAGGAAAGTCACCAGCCCAAAATCAAATCTATCATCTTTTTCCGAAGATGAGATGGTTGCAGATGGGCTTAGTGGTGATTGCTCAAAACTTTACCAGAGGTTTACTGAACTATCCAATTCTGAAGCTGAAAAAAATGAGGGTTCAACCTTTTCAAGAAAAATTGAACCATTACCTTGCCAACCAGAAAATGAAATGATCTGCGGCCGAGAGAATGTATCCGGCAGAAAGCCTGGGTCTTCTGATATTAATCTCTTCTCATCTAGGAAATCTGTGGAGAAGGTAGCTTCAGACAAGTCACAAATTAATGCCAATCTCTCACGTTCTTTGCCTGAGGCTAACCATGGGGCAGTCAAAAAATCGTATAATGTGCATTGTAAACAAGCCGTGAGTCTGAACCAGTTGATTACTGCTAGCCCTAAAGTTTTTCCCGGTAATCCCTCATATTTTAGCAATTCAAAGAAGCTTCAACCTACTCAAGGTTCAAAACCAAGGACATGGCACCGAAACGGTAGCTCCTCTGTGGCAGTTACTGAAACAAAATTACAATCTTCTTCCAGTCCTCAGAGTCATGGAACCAAGACAGATCAAACTATCCCAAGTTCATATATACGGAAGGGTAATAGTTTAGTGAGAAATCCTTCTCCTGCTGTCACAGGTGTACCCCACAGTTCAAGTCGCTCGGTTTATAGGCTGACTCCCTCTCCAGATATCTCAAAGAACAGTGGTTTAGTGAGAAATCCTTCTCCTCCTGCTGTCACAAGTGGATCTCATTATCCAAGTCACTCGGTTTATAGGCTGACTCCAGGTACAGATGACTTGAAGGATAACCAAGCAACTGATTGCAAGACTGGTGAAGCTGATGTGCTTTCTATCACGAGAATGAAGCCAGTAAATAATACTGAAATGCCTTCTGAAACTAAAGATGCTTTGGAAGAGTGTATGAAGTCCTCTGGGGTTCTTGGCCAGGCTGATTCAGGCATTAGCTCGAAGAACCAGGGTACACCTGATGAAGTGAATCTGCAGAAGAAGATAATGTATGTTAAGAGGAGGTCCAATCAATTGATTGCAGCTTCTAGTTCTGAGAACATGTCTACATTAGGGGTAGATAAAAAAGGCCAAGCATCATCATCTGATGGTTACTACAAGAGGAAGAAAAATCAGCTTGTCAGATCATTGTCAGGAAATCATGGAAAAAAGGCGGATGCAAATGGAAACTCACGTAGGCTTGTGTCTCGTGCAATTCTTCCTAGATTATGTACCAGGCAGCAGTCCGGCATTGCCAACCGTTCAAAATTGTCATTTGTGTGGAAACTGCATGATATGCATTCTACAGAGAGGCATAAGACTTCTGTGGTACCTCAGAAAGTTGTTCCACGACTGTTTTCGTGGAAAAGAACTGCACATTGGAGAAGTTTTATGCATGCTTTAAGTACAAAACCAAACAAGAGTTCCTTTTCAACTTCCAGGTATGCTAAATGACTAGAGTGTCTCTAAAGTTGTTGCCATATTCGACATAATGTTTTACCTATCTGTTCTTGGATAAAATAGAGATGCATTTGATTGTGTTTTTCTTTCTTTTGTGTTGTGTAGACAAACATTGCTGTTCTCCAGAAAGAGAGGCGCTATTTACACAAGATCAACTCATGGATATTCTCTTAGGATGTCCAAAGTTCTAAGTGTCAGTGGTTCAAGTTTGAAGTGGTCAAAAGCAATTGAGAAAAGCGCGAAGAAAGCTAATGAGGTTTGTTGATCACTAGCACTATAATTGTACTTTGTAGAGCTAGAATCTCAGGTGAGTGAGTGTTTGCGTGCCTCAACTATAGGAAGCTACACGGGCTGTTGCTGTTGCTGAGAAGAGGAAAAAGGAAGAAAATGGTGTTATTCCAATTGCTTCAAAGAGCATAAATAATGTTTCTCGTAAGTTGGTTCTTAGTGTACAGCTGCATCCAGGTACGCCGCTCTGCTATCCTGGTGTGGCATATGCGACTTGCTTGTTTTGTTATGTTAAATAGACGATTTTAGTTATTTATGACTGCACAATGCATAATCTGCATGTAATAATTTTGATTGGTAAGTAGGGTAATTTATTACTTACGGTCTTTAATTGTATGTGATTATTATTTTGCTTTATTATGACAAACAGGAGAACGGATATTTCGCGTTGGTTCAGAGAGATACAAAATGGACCCAACAAGAAGGACCCTTCACAGAATTACAGGTGGTCTGGTTGATTTTTTTTTTTTTTTGGTTCAACATGTGAATCATGCTAACTATCACTTCTGTTTCGGATGAGCATATTAGACCCATTTTGTATCCTTGTAACTCTAGTCTCAGTTTTCATTGACAAGTAGACACTTTATTCTTTTGGCACCTTGCAATTGCTCCCTGTGAGAGTGTATTTGCTGATATCAATTTTGTGCACTGAAGTAACTTGACCACTTGGGCTAAAAAACATAAAATCATCAATTTTGCTCAGAGTTTTCAGATATACAGTCATACTTCGTCTGAGTTACCCGTAATAACTTGACCACTTGGGCTAAAAAACATAAAATATCATCAATTTATCTCGATTGTGTCACTACCCAGCACGTACGCTGTTTTGAGTCTATCCTAATGCAATGTTCTTACTTCTTAGAGGCATATACATAATTCAGTGGCATCTGCCATGGAGCTTTTAGTGGGGAATAATGGGCATAAATAAAGTCTTTGAAACTGATGTTAGTTTTTTGGTTCTTCTGCGAGCCCAAGTACTTGCTGTAGTGTTTCTGTGAATCCCCATAATGGAGGACCTTCAAAGGTTTACATGGCTTTCAAGTATTATAGAAATCAATCTTGTGGCTTTTAATTTTTTTTCTTTTGACCTATTTCCTCAATGTCCTACTTACGCAGCAGAGAAGGAAGAAGCATCATCCCCTGTGGTTCTTCAAACCGAGAAGAATGTGAAGAGATCTTATGTTCCCAGGAGGTTATATATTGGTCATGAAGAGTAAGCTCCTTTAGATCATCGTTATTAGATCAAGCCTTCTATAATTTAGTGGAAAATCTTTTAAACTGAACAAGGATTCATTATTCTAGCAACGAATGATAACTGCATCGTGGCAGACTTTAAGCGTACACTTAGGAGGATTTGTTTTTAATGGGTGCCTTAAACCATGTGTAGATATGTTCGGATTGGCAATGGTAATCAACTGGTTAGAGATCCGAAGAAACGAACTCGTGTTCTAGCAAGTGAGAAAGTCCGATGGAGTTTGCGTACTGCTAGGCTGAGGATGGCTAGAAAGAAGAAGTTCTGCCAGTTTTTCACTAGATTTGGAAAATGCAACAAAGATGATGGGAAGTGTCCATACATTCACGACCCCTCTAAAATAGCTGTCTGCACTAAATTTCTGAATGGTTCTTGCACCAATCTTGACTGCAAATTGACGCACAAGGTATCCGGTGGTATCCATTTTGTGTTGCTTAAAATATAATATTCACCGTCTTATCCCATTTAAAAGATCTAAAAATAAATTATGGTATTTACTGTATATATGCGAAAATTCTAATTATTATGCAGGTTATCCCTGAGAGAATGGAAGATTGCTCGTACTTTTTGAAAGGTAGAAGAGATTGTATTTTATGTTGTCCTGGTTAATTTTCGTTGGGTCAAATCTCTAATCCAGTCATTTTACAGGGTCATGCTCGAACGAGAATTGCCCATATAGACATGTGAATGTTGATCCTGATTCCACTGTTTGTAAAAGTTTCCTCCGAGGTTACTGTGCTGACGGAAATGAGGTATTTCTTTTGTTTGTTTGGAATGTTATATTAACATATGTTGTGCATTGTGAATTTTAGTGGGTTTTTGGCTTATTTCTAAGGAAGGACTGAGATCATCTGTGTGGGACATGAAAATTTTTGATGAAACAGATTTATATAAAATGTTTGCAAACACTTGAAAGAGAGAGTGATTATGAACTATTAATTTTGAGCGCTTTCTTATGTTAACTTCTGCTCCTAATTGTGATATATATGATTGGGAAGGAGAGCATTTCAGATTTCTCTTTTTATTTTTTTTGTTTTAATGTTTATTATCTAACTTCAACTTATATTTGCATAAGAAGTCGCCCCTGATTCTCAACTACTTGTGCTTGTGCAATGAGAAAGTAAAGCAACCATGTCCTAAAAATTATTCTCATATGATTTTGCTTTGGAGATTAGAATCTATTGCTTGTCAAAAATGGGTACTGCTCCAGATTGCGCGCGCATAACAAGGCTGGCGAGATGGGGCTCAAACATACTTGAGCACAATAGCAACTTCTATAATTGGGCTTTATACATTAACACATTATTATCTAAAATTCTATACAATTCCACTTTTTCACATGCGCACTAACCCCCACTGGTTTTCAATACTTATCCTGTGAATGGATCGAATATCTCCCAAACTTTGCAGTGCCGGAAAAAACACACCTATGTGTGTCCAGCTTATGAAGCCCTCGGTTCATGCCCCAACCAATCTTCTTGCAAGCTTCACCACCCAAAAAAGAAGACTGAAAAGCAACAACCCTTGATCGAGCAGAAAACCTTAAAGGGCCGATATTTTGATGGTGGGCTCATTGGGAAAGCTGATTCTACTGATATCCTAACAGAGAGGGCTCCGGCAAATGGTAAGGATGAGATGGTTCTCAATGGGAAGAAGTATCCGGATTATATCAGTTTAGATGTGGATGATGATGATGATGATGATGATGAGATGGACCAGGCTTGGGATTCGGATGAGCAAATGCCCGATTTCGATGTGCTTGTGTGAACCAAGTTTTGGTTTTGAATAGAAAAAAGTGCTTACATTGCAATGTGGTATAGGTGATTAGTGCATTTGATTGCAGTTTTTGTTTGTGATGTTTGATTTTGATATATAGTGATAACCTAGATTTAGGTAGGTGTAGGTGTAGGTGTATAGGATGTAGTGTCTTGTTTGTAAGAAACTAAATTGATTAATGAAGTTTTGAGATTGTGTCAGAATTGTAATGTAGTTCTGTGTGCTAAATTGATTAATGTAGCATAACCATAGTTTTTCAACTTGGATCAGGTACTCGATAGACCCGGAGCCGGAATTGGTCCAGGTGGGCTATTCAGACCGGACCACGTCAAACCCGGTTAAAATTCGGTCAACCCGGCCTTGACCCGGTCGACCAAGGGCATTGACCCGGTCCTTATATATATATTTTTCTAATATTTAAAATATATTTTTTTATTTCAAAAATAAAAAACAATGGATGTATACTTATATGCTAAATATTTATTATGAGATACACTATTATCAACATTTAATGTACAAATTTTATATACAAAACATTTAATTTTATTACTTTTATGTATATCTATATGTCAAATATACTAGGTGAGGGGTTCAAATTATATTTCGCCATTAGAGTATTCAAATTGAAAAAAAAAACGAACAAATAAAAACCATCATTTATCATTAGGGTTAATTGCAGATAAAACTTTAACCTTTTGTTAAATTGCAGATAAAACTCCACTTTATAAGTTTGACAAAAAAATACTAACCTTTCATAATGTTGCAATTGTGTCTCAACCGCCACCCGCCGCGGCCAACCACCACCCGCCGGCCAACTTCACCGAATGTTAAAAAATTTTACATGATCTTGTAGCTGTCATCCGTGCCAACAACATATCCGAGTTTCACGAAAAAATTCCGACGATAAGGAGATGACTGGAAAAGTCGTCACCGAAAAAAGTCACCAGTTCCAGTGAAGGTGGACGTCACTAGTTGCGGCTTTGCGAGAGGAGTTCAACGGTACCTTCGGATTCACGTGGGTCAAAGCGAGTTGCGAAAGAGCCGGATAAAATTTGTAGATCTACGAGCTTTGACCGGAAAATTGGAAGCCTTATCGTCGGAATTTTTTTGTGAAACTCGGATATGTTGTCGGCACGGAAGAAAGCTACAAGATCATGTAAAAATTTTCAACATCCGGCGAAGTTGGCCGGCGGTGAGTGGCGGTTGAGACACAATTGCAACACTTATGAAAGATTAATATTTTTTTTTGCCAAACTTATAAAGTGGAGCTTTATCTGCAATTTAACAAAATGTTAGGGTTTTATCTGCAATTAATCCTTATCATTATTCTATTTATTAACAAAAATTAGAAAGGATAAAAATAAATATAAAAGTCAAATGTTGTCCATCACAGTTGACTGTGACCTCTTGACCCGCAAACACCGGCCACCCGACACACACACTCACTCACACGGCTATAAAAATACTTCTCTCTGTAGGGTTTTTGTTCTTGAGTTTGCAGCAGATATCACAGCAGTCTTTCCTTTTTTCTAGGTAATTTTCTTCATCTTTCCTCGTCATTATATTTTCAGATTCCACCCGACACAAACACACACACACACAAACAGAGCTATATATATAATAGTGCTCTACATTTTATGTTTTCTGATTTTTGAATCATTGTTAGGTTTCTTTTATATGAAACTTGGTGTGTTTATGACTCTCTCTCTCTCTCTCTCTCTCTCTCGTTATATTAATTTCATTTATGCTTTGAAGTGAGATGAATAAGTTCATGCATATATATAACTTGCGTATCATTTGTGCCCCCTTGTTTTATAGATCTAGAAATCTTCTACATTTGGTTTGTAGCATTTTTTTTTTTAATGAAAGTTGATGAGATGAAGTACAAAAACACAAACATAATTCAATACTTGAGGTGTGTGTGTGCATATATATAAACTATATGTTTCGATTTTATTTTCTTTATTGAGTATCGATTTTCCTTTATGTTATGTACATTTGATTTTAGAAGGGAATTTTGCTTAAGATCTGAAATATAAACACATGAATGTGCGTGTATGAGCAGAATATTTGTAATGGGAATGAGATTTTTTGGATGTAAGCCGACAAGTCTCGCTGGATCTTATTGCTTGTGTAATAAGCTTCCTCGATTTGATTTAATATGAAGTCAAAGCAACAAATGTGTAAAATGATTATAATGATGCTTCTATAAATGAAGTCATGTAATCATTGTAAAGCTATTCGTTTTGATGATAATGATTCTATAACTTAATTTGTCGAGGGTTTTGGTTAATGTTTATTTAATAACTCTACGCGTTATTATAAATCGCATATATAAAATCTTAAATCCGAGAGATCTTTCTCGATTTAAGCACTCTTGAGGCTCGAATGCTAGTATTTGTCCACTTGTAATAACTTTTTTTCGTCGATCTCTACCTTAAGTAGCTTCACATGGTTTGGTCTTATGAGGCAACAATTTATTCATTTGGGTTAGTTTATATGTTAATAAGGCATTCATTTCACTTTTGTATTCTTAGATCTTAGTAGCTTATTTAATTTTGAGGATATGTTTTGCCTCATTCTTTTACTTGTCACATACATATTGCATGTTAGATTATTATTTCTTTTTTTATCTTCAGAATATATATTTCTTTTCTTTTTTTTTTCATCACCAAGAGTTAAAATGGCACAAGATGGAAAAACAAGTTGTTTGAACGAAGTTTCGGAGGATAATAATTCCAATTGCAGGCTCGAACCTTGTGGCGCAAGAAACGCACTATCCAATATGGAACTCAAAGCATACAAAAGGCTGTTGAAGAAATTTGATGCCATTGACGAAAGCTATCGGCGATTTATCATGTCCCTTATATCAAAGCAAGAACAATTCGCACGAAAAAACGACGCGCGAAATCCAAGAAAGCGTTTATTGTCTACTCCAATGAATGAAAAACGAGCCCTGCAGCCGCGCAAAATGAAGCTCAAACAAAAAATCGATGCAAACACAAATAAGGCACGGGAAAATGTACCTGTGCCACAACAAAAAAGGAAAGGGAAAGAGATTTTGATTGAAAACGATACTAATTACGTGCTTTTCTTGAGGTTCTTGAAGAATCAAAAAGATTCTCGTGCTGCAGCTGAAAACAAGAAAGAATGTTCTTTTGACTTGGTTAGTCAAAACAGAGAAGTTCATAACATTAATGAGAATATTCATGTCGATTCAGATTCAGATTCGGATTCAGATGTGGTGATTTTAGACACTGATTGTCTCAACGGGAAAACTCCTTTCGTGCCTTCGCGTAGATTTCAGAGAGACGTATGTATTTATAACCTAAATGCGCATTTTTCTCTTTTGCACATATTCGATTTTCTTCTTCCCCCCTTTTTTTTTTTTTTTAACACGAGTATTTAATTATGATAAGTTATTTGCATATTGAACTAATACATTGTGATCGACTTTTAATTCTGCATTAATTTCAGGTTGAGGATTTCGCTTCCCGAGGGAATGCATTGGCAAGCGAGTTTAGGAAAGAAGTTATGGAGGTTTTGAATAAACCATTCGACAAAGACGAGTATGTGAGACTCAAAGCCGAGCTCGATGCTCAAGGATATGCCTTTTATTATCCAGGTAAGTAGTTGAAGATATATTATTATTATTATTGTGTGCATTAAGATTTTCACATCTTTTTTTCATGAATTCACGTGTTAATGTTAATACATCAAAGCTCAAAAAGTACAGATACAACCAAAAGAAGCGCTTGGCTATTTTACGTGGATTTTTCTATTGGCTTCAGGTTGGTAAATAAATATATTTTATTTTGGCAAGAATTCTTTGTTCGTTTTCACTAATAAATATATCGTGCTTGAGATGAATTTGGCGTATAAATGGAATAAGATTTATGGTATTATGTTATTATATCAGAATTTGACGCGAGATGGAGCCTTCAAACCATGGAAAGATCTTGTTTGTCTGTCAATCGAGCCTCAATATCCGAAAAACAACCCTGGTCGTGAATCGGGTTCATGAGGGCTCGATAGTGTTATTAACTTCTTGGACTGGACTTTTTTGTAAATTATAGAGTAACGAGTTACCTTGTTGTTCTTTGAGTGTTTGAGAAGAAGCTATGTTGTTTGTACATTTTAACTTTGGCGTAGTTTGTTGAAAATCATCGCCTATTTCGTGATATACTGATATGGCGTGTATTTTTTATTTTTATGCATAATTTTGAGTATATTAAATTAATATGTCACAGAGGAGCCACCTCATTAATTTTGACTCAGGGGAGAGTCAATATCCCGAAAACGATCAGTTGGAAGTACTTCTTGGACAAGACTTGTTTGTAAGCTGTAGAGAAGCAAGTGGCTCTGTTGTAAAATGTTCATTCTTTATTGTAGTGCAAAAATTCTGGTCACCCTTTTAAAACAGATGAGATGAAATTTCATTTTCTCGTTTACACAAGTAACAAGTTACAGAGCCTATACATAAGTTCCGGCTTGCCATCTCCTGCCTTTATCTCTACTTTAGTGCAGAATTTACTCTACTCTATTAGAGTAGAGTGAAACAAAAATCAAGTGACGGAGTATACTGTACTCTAGAGTAGAGTAGAGTGAAACAAAAATCTACTTTACTCTCCATAGAGTATAGTAAAACAAATATTAAGTGTCGTCTTCAACTGTTCGCACTACAATTTACTCTATAAATTCTTTTTATTCTCATTATTTTAAACTATTTTAATATCACAAGTGTAATTTAATTAGATATATTATTTTACACAAAATTCATTATTTAAATTATTATTATTGTATAAGTAATAAAATATAAATAGTACAACAATATTTATATAAAGATTAAATTATTTATTAAAACATATATCAATATTTTCTAAATTATTACGTATTTACTAAAATATTAAATAAAATTTATGAGAAATTACAATTGATAATGTAAGTCATTGAAAATAAATTCACTGTGTTAATATTTCTTCGTTCAATAATTTACCACATATTTTTTCTATTATAAATAAATTTGTTAAATGAAGATGTGTATTATGTTGAAAAATATATGTGGTAAATATTTATTCATATGTACTTTTTGATATAAAAAATACAAAATAAAATCATAATACATCAATCAATAAATAGCACAAAATTATTTAAAATGATAAATACATTTACCAATATACATTATGAAAAAATTTACCAATAATACTACATTAAATCACATAAATATATATAAAAAAAAATGGCACGTAATTATGCAAAAATTTACCAATAATATTACATAAAATCACATAAATATAAAAAAAAAAAAATTGCGGCGCAAGAATAGTGCTGCGCTAGAACTTCATAGTGCAGTTCTCCATTCAGGCACATAACTGTTTCTGGTGCATATTACCCATAATTGTGGCACTGCAGTGAACTGCCACAGTTCAATTCTCCATTCTGACGCATAATTGTGGCGCTGCAATGAACTGACACAATTCAATTCTCCATTATGGCGCATAATTGTGGCGCTGCACTGCGTTTTCCATTCTGGCGCATAATTATGGCGCCGCAGTGGAAGGTGTTTTTCACGCTACTCTTGCCTTTTTTTCTTTTTTCCTCCAGTCTAAGATTTTCACTGCACTGGAAGACATTTTTCACGCTACTCTATATCTAACTGTAGTTTGAATTCAAATATTTATAACACATTACATGCACGAATAGTGCATTTTGTACTTTACTTATCGGTCGTGCGTGCAGACCTCGGGACAAAGCTCAAAAAGTACAGGTACAACCAAATGAAGCGCTTGGCTATTTTACGTGGATTTTTCTATTGGCTTCAAGTTGGTAAATATATTTTTATTTTGCAAGATTCCTTTGTTCATTTTCAATAATAAATATATCGTGCTTAAGATAAATTTGGCGTATAAATGAAAGCTTATTATCAATTTGAAAGCTTATGTTATTATCAAAATTTGACGCGAGATGGAGCCTTCAAACCATGCAAAGATCATATTTGTCTGTCAATCGAGCCTCAATATCCGAAAAACAATCCTGGCCATGGATTGGGTTCATGACATGAGGGCCCAATAGTGTTATTAACTTCTTGGAGAGGACTGTTGTAAATTGTAGAATGTTTGAGAAAAAGCTATGTTGTGTGTACATTTTAGCTTCTTGTCTTGACCATAATTAATCTGTAGCTGTTATCAATTACATCATCTTTCCCCGAACAACATTTTATATGCTTTGTGTTTCAAATCGCACAATGCAGTTTAACACGAAAGATTTTCCCTGCTCGAGATAATCTGGCTAAATAAACGAAACGACCACCAGAAATCGACATATCAAACACAATAGGCATCTTTTTGCAAAGTTTCCATCTTCTTCCTTCAGTTGTAATAAACAAAAGTTGCATCCCTTGACACACAAACACAAAGCAAACATCCAATTTCTTCCTGCTCATAGAATTGTAAAGCCTAAACATTTGACATGGAG